CTTGAGTATAGACTCCTCAGGCTCTAACGTTTAGGTGCAGCAGTTTCCCGAATCACTGTCCCAACCACATGCCTTTCACCCTTACTCTTACCCTCAAACTTGTTCCCAGTCTCATTATCTCCTAGTCTAAAAATGAAGTCAACACCCATCCAGTTAGCTGCTCATGTCAGAAACCTGGAAAATTATCTTAACTCAACCCCCCACACACACACACATACTTCCAATATCTAATAAACATTACGTTGAATTAAAGCATCTCTCCAATTCATTCCTTCTTTGCTACCACCACTCCTCCTAATCAGATTAGATTCTTCACTACCTCCCATCTGGACTAGTATTTTCAGGCCCTCTATCTGAGCCACAAGTCTTAAAACGCCTGCCATTCACTCACAGACGTGTGTCTACAAGGTGTAAAGACTGCTCCAAATACTTAGTTTATAAATCATTTAATTCGGGGGAGGGGAGAGCCCCCAGCATCAATACATTAAGAGTTCACCCAAGGCTTTCCCAACCACCACGAGCAGCACATGCCTTCTACCACAGACTAAACAGTAGTTAATTTTCTTCCATGGTCCATAATCCAGGTATGACAATGGGAAGGTGCTGTGTCCCTCAGCTGTGTCCCAGTAGGTAAAAGGGCAAGGTCATGAATTATTGCTTTGAAAAACAGTATCTAATTTAAAAAAAAAAAAATTATTTTTAGATTTTTGCCACAGGGTACCCGTGCTTGCTGGAGAGACAGACAGAAAAGGGGAAAGTGAGAAATCACCCCACAGGGAGGATGGCCACATCACAATCCCTTTCTCCATTCACCTTTTAGGATTATGGGTGCACACACACAAGTACCTAGTGTGTTTTTCAAGTCACCGGGTCTGGGATTCGAACAGAAGAGTTGGTCATGTAGAATCTAGCACTTTAACCACCACGCTACCTGCTGGCCCTGAAATTTTAATTTATACTGAGCTGGAAGTTTTCCCCTGTTGTACTGACTCACCATTGATATTCAGGGATCAGAACAAGTCTTCCTGGGCAAAACACATGACTGACATCAACCAAAGAAACGCTGAGTGTCAGGCACCAGTCCTTCACATCTCTGAAGACCTTGAGTTCCCCAAGTAGGAGGCCTTCCCAAGGTCATACATTCCTTGACCAATCTGGTCTAAACATCACATGTTCCACAGTGTTTGGTCTTTCTTTTCTCCAGTGTGGGGCCCACTGCAAAACTGTAAATACCTTTTTGGATTCAATTTCTCTCTATTAATGCAACTTAAGGTCATGTTAGCTGGTATAGATCAGTCATTTCACACTGATAACTCTTATTAAACCATCACCCTGACATCTTTTTACAAGGTGACACTGTCCTCAATTCATTACTATGTAATATAATGTTAATTGAGCTTTTGAATCCTAATCTTCATTTTATCCTTCTTAAATTTCATTCTGTTAAATCTGACCTATTATATCAATCCTTCCATCAATCTACTACATCAACT